CAAGATCCAAAGGCCACGATTCCGTTTTATAGTAGTGTGTAACAAAATATGAAACACCAAGACAAAGACACCTAAGCCTCTCGAGAATTGATTGATGCATACGACCATACGACCATACGACAGTACACAACAACCAGTCATGAAGATGGAAAAAGATCGTGGTAAACTGAAGTAGCGTTGAAAGCGAGAGCGAAGGGTTACAACGAGAGTGAGGGAACGGCGTCCTTATCAAATTCAAAAATGATCAAGCGTTGTGACAAACAGGGGAAGAAATCGATGCAAGTCTTTCTGCAGCGATCGTTGCAATTGCAGTGTGCAGTCAGTTGAATTTGTGTAACAGTAACAACTCCAGACACGATTTCTTCAGAAGGATGCCGTCCGTCTATAGAGAAGGAGCAATCGTCTCTTGTGCGGCTGGAAATTTTATCCCCTCTTTGCCCATTTCTTCCTTCTTTTGACTGACATTCCAGCACCTCTCTAGTCAGACACTGAGACCAACGAAACACATGATTCGAAGTGGAGGATACAGAGGATGCCAAGATCGATTGCGACAACCATCTGGTTGACAGAGTTGGAGGTGAATGAGGGGACGGTCTGGGACCGCGGTAGGGGAAGATCCTCAAGTCTACAACGTACGAGAGTTTCCGTCTGGATGAACGGACGCCCACGATGTTTCTTTGAAGTTGCTATTGGAGTTCTCTTGGTCATGTTTTGAGGTGTCAAGACGTGGGACACTGCTTCAACGAAGCGGTCGGCATCAATGCAATGAAAAACTGACTTATTACAAACATTACCCATAGATTGAACAGGTTGCCAAACTCTAACATGACTTTATGCATCATCGACGTCGCCGCCCCATAAACGAATGTTTCTTCCGATTGAGAAGACAGCTCCAATCCCGCAGACGACTCTCACACGAATGGCAAATTCAACAGTTTTTGGATTCCGTTCTTCTGCCAAGACAAACGCGTTTTCTGTGGCTTTGGGTGTATGACGGCTTGTGAGATGTTGTATTGTAATTGGAGACACCAACTGGTGTGGCTAGAGAACAGATCGAGATTGTGCTGTACCAATACTCTCTCCAGAACGCTTTGCGAGGCATAAATACAAGATTCAATCGAAGGACGATACAAAAGGATCCAAAATTTGTTGAGACCAGCTCTTTTTTGTCTGCGGCTGACAGTTGATGTTCCGCACTTATCTTCGTCCTGAGCTTATGAAAATGAATAACATCTCTAGCGTCGGTGCGACTACAATTCTTTTCACGTAATGATGTGTCAAGAAGTGGATTGTGGAAGATACAGAGGATGCCAAGATCGATTGCGACAACCATCTGGTTGACAGAGTTGGAGGTTGATGAGGGGACGGTTTGGGACCGCGGTAGGGGAAGATCCTCAAGTCTACAACGTACGTGGACAAGTCTGTAAGTTATGTGCAAGACATCTTTGAAACAGAAATCCAATCATTGAAGCAACAGCATTCTGTGCTGGAACGGATACTGAGGCCTGAAACTTATTATTTATAATAATATTGTTCACCATGATCTACAACACACCAGTCATTAGCTATCAGCATACTCTGTTTTTTATTTTACATCATAAACTTTGCATGATCAAATTCATCCCAACACTTTTCGCAAACGGCCACGCCCTTGCCTTTTTTGCATTGGGGACATCCCGAACAAGAATACCGAACAATTTTTTGCTTGCGCAGTTTGTTCCGATTCCAATCTGGATGTTGGTGTCGAGCTTTGGCGACGCAAACGACACATTCCCGGTATTGCTGAGTCCAATTTGTGATTTTGACTCGTTGGGTACTGTGCAATTCCAACGGTACAACAACAATGGCAGCATCATCCGACTTTTTGACATTAGGTTTTGTTTCCTTCTTCACAATGTAGACTAGGATGTACCCTCCAGAGGAAACGGCACACCGGTTGCGACCAGTTTGCTTCTTCACCATGCATGTCTTCAATTCAAATTGTGGATATCGGATGGCTTTGGCGGTGTTTCGGCACGTACCCTGCCGGATTCGTTTCTTGAATCGTTCCCGGAGTCCTTCCAAACACAAGTCGTCATAGACAATCTTTCCATCTGGGAAGTGTATGGATGGATCTGTGGAGGGAGTTCCATTGGCTGGATGTGCCACGGGATCCTGCTTGTCTCTAATCCAAAATCTCTCACCATCGAGTTTTCCATTTTGGGGAGCATGGGTCTTGAGGAGTTCTGCCACACTACAGTCGTTGGATGCAATTTGTACTTTGGTGGCAGCCTTGTTGGGACCGGTTGTTCGGTTTCCCGCATTCGCAGTGGATGCGTCATATACTTGGAGGAGTTGATCTTTCAATTCAGGAGAAAGATGGTTCTCGACAAAGTTTCTAAAGTTGCCAGATTGAAGACTCGCATAAGAGTGAAACAATGATTTCAGTTTTTCGACTACCTCCCAAAGCGGCGACGTGGACTCGACCGGTGATGCCTGGTTGACAATGCTACGACCCTGTTCCATGATGGAGAAGTCCTGACGACGGACTTTCTCTCCATTGTCCAGCTTGTCAACAATTGCTCGACCACGAGCAATTGTATATTTTAGACGCAACCGTCCCGCCACTGGATCGTTTTCTGCCGTCTTGCTCAACCCATTGTACAAGACTGCATTGATGGACTCGGGAGTCACAAAGTCGCGGAAGAAGGCGGCGGCTTGTCGATGGCCGCTGTGATACCCTCGAATGATGACGTGGAAGGCTAGCATTGCATGGATGGGATTGGAAAAACGGTCCTCGGGAGACAAGACGTGTTCTCCCCGAACCAACCTTCCAATGTTGCACATGGTAGCCACGGCAATTGCCCGTTTCCACCGTAGCTTGTGAGAAATGATCTTTCTGGAATCACTTGCCACACAAACTGGCTTGTGGAGGACAACCGCATGCAACTGACTTGCATCAAGATACAGAGCGATCTCACCATCGAGGATCGTTTCAATATGGTTGAATTGGAAACGTTCCGTCAGGAAATCGTGCGCTGATCTACGACAGTTGGGGTCGTTGTCCAGGATAAGTTTATTCGTATCCATGAACATAATCCCACAGTCCATATCCAAAAAGTCCGTCACTGTTTGGAAAAACACCAATCTTCCGTTCTCCTTTTGGGAGTCAGTGTACTTGCTCGTATCGAAGCAATCGTGCGTTGTCCTTGGATTCGCCACGGGAGGAAACGGTAGTGTGTCTTTGAATTTATCCCGGAATTGCTCTCCAAGAATACATTGTGTCGTTTCAATTTTACTTGAAAGATACGCCACACCGGACATCCAACTGCAAAGTGCTTGTAGAGGAATCGTTTCGCCGTTTCTAGCCTTGGTGTGTAGTACAGATAAATACCGCATCACGTGTTGAGCTTGTGTTCTTGTCGTATGGTAGAGCTCTTGTGCAACACGACGACTAAACATGGCAAACTCCGAAATAACGGCGAGTCCAAATTCGTACTGGAGGCCGATTTCGATCATTTGGATCCATATAGTCTCCTTTGCACCAAGACGATCTCCACCCCGCTCCATCAGGGTGTTGACCAAGAACCTTTGAAACGGATGGAGATTGTTTGTTTGGTTCAACTTCTCCATCATCTTGACATACACTTGATTCATACGCCGGTCGACTATTTCGTTGGTGTTACTAAAGTCGACCATGATGAAAAAACGCCAGTCTTCAATGTCGTACCGTTCTTGATAGTACTGGCACCGTTGTCGAAAGTTCGTGGTAGAGCCGATTTTCAAAATCGATTTACCACTGGTACTCAAGATGCAGTAGACACCGCTGTTGCGTGTCATCGTCCGTCGCTTGATGTGTTCAGCGAACTTTCCAAAGGGAGATTCAAAAAAGTTCTCTTCCTTTATGATAGTTGCACTCTCTACACAGTAAGGCTTGATAATCTTACGAGCAGTTGACTCTCCGACTATTTCGATAGGGCAGAAGTCGCTTCCAACAGTCGTTTCGGTGTGTTCGTCGGACACATTTTCTTCCTCGTCATCGTCGTCGTCGTCATCTTCTTGGTTCTCCAACTCGATGATTTCTTGAGGAATAATATCGTTGACAATGGCATGATCTTGTTCGGACAATGTTTCCTTCGACTGTTCTTGAGGAAAAGACGGCTTGGATCGAGGTTTGCAATCATATGTATCTTCTTGGTCTTCTTCTTCTTCATGTAGGCCATCATTATCTTGGGAGATGTTGTCGCTACTAGAGCTTGTGATGGATAGATCTTCTTGCAAGGCGTCATATTGAGCAAATCGATTGGGAGTGCTGATACCACACTGACTGGAAGAAACAGTATTCTTCCTCGTGTTACAGTTCGGTGACTGACTGGGGGTGTTTCCTACAACGATGCAGGAATTGGTGATGTTGTTGATCTTGTTGATGTTGGGTTTATTGTCCGTCGTTATTCCTCTAGGAAGAAAGAAGGATGATAAAGAAGGAGTACTGTCGGTAGACGACAGCGATGTATACGTTCTCTTCTTGCTTGTAGTGACAAGTCTTGCAGAAGGCCCAGTAGAGGTTTGTGTTGCCACCAATGACGACGATGATGATGCAGCGGTAGATACATCTTTTCGAGGAGTTGTGGCAACCGCCGCTGTCTCAACAGCAGCATTCTTGTTGGTGGTTGGTGTAGTACCACCAATACATTCTTCTTTCCTTTGAAAGAAGGAAGTAATCTGTGTAGTCTGTAGCTTGCAGCTGGTCATGGTGATGGCAAATGTAGTACATACACCTAAATAATACTGATGATGACAAAAAATGACAACAACAACAAAAAGGTGATGTTCCGGTTGCACAAACAAGAATTGAGGGTAGGGATAAAAAATGACAACATTGCGAAAAGTGTTGGGATGAATTTGATCATGATGTAAAATAAAAACAAGGTATTCCCTAACCCTAATGCTTACCCCTAACCTTTATCGATTCGGGAAGAGCAAAAAGTTATCCTTCGCAAAAGGTTATCCCTAACCCTATCTGACATCGGCAGGATTCGAACCTGCGCCAACGAAGATCAGAGCCTAAATCTGACGCCTTAGACCACTCGGCCACGATGTCTTTACTACACGTAGGGGTGAAAATAATGATGATGTGAATAGTGTTCTTTCGCAATGGTTCCTTTTGATTTTTCTGTTTACTGCCAGGTAGTTTCACGTTAGTTACTGTTAAGTATTATAATTGTCAGTTTAGTAGTAAAAGAGTAGTAGAAAAGTACCAGCAGGTGTCGTCGATCTAATTACAGTTAGTGCAAAGGACCCTCTGGGATGTTTGTCGTTACACCTGTTCGTGATGGATTGCTGTATTTCCAAGCACGTCGTGTCGCTCCTTCTTACATCTTGCTTGCTTGCTCGCTCGCTGTTCAACCCAAAACAAAAGCCTCGATGTTTTCCAGACATGTCCAAAGTCCTGATTCCGTTCATGTCATTTTCTGAACCGACACTGTGAAATACCCATTCTTTCCGTTTCCTTGTGATTGTCCAGCCAGCGCTGGCAAGAGTCCCGCAAAAGCAGGGTTATACCTAAGAACAATTGCCCTCACCATGACATCCTTCTAACCCGGTTCCCTTAAGTGTCCAGTGATCCTACGTCCATCGATATCATCAAGTAGAACAATCTGGCCGATTTGGCTCGCCGGTTCCTTGGGTTTGGTCAATGAATCATTTCGACAGTCAACTGGACCAGCACCATTGATCTTGTTTCGCTCATTTTTTTTGTAAAAGGATTTAGTTTCGTCCCTTCCAAGCTAGTATGTTGTCAAAATACAAGTCTCTTCGTCAAAACCATAGTACCTCGCATCGAATACTATTATTCCATAGTCCGCTTCATGGCTTGGATCGTCCACAATCTGACCTGTCCTTTTCCCCGTCAACGAATAGAATACCCTTCAGATAACAATTCAATTACTACGTCACAATTCACTCCGCCCCGTCGTGGACATTGGAAGGCGGAAAGGGGAACCAGGACATGGATTACTTCGGCAACTCCTCTTTATCACTATAGAACTTGATTCCGTCCAAGGATCTGTGGCACTGGATCAAAATTCAAATATACTAGTACAGTAAAAGCAATTGGACATTTGGACATGCTGATCTTTTGAGAGCGCTTCTTCGATGTTTAACAAGAGTGCCAGCAACTCAATCATCATCTTTCCGCTCTTTTTCGACGCATCGATCCAAGCGCCTTGGGAATCACCATCATTGCACTCATTGGGTCCCCATTTCTGTCCTATGGAGATGAATATTGCACAGAACGGTCTCGAGTCACGCAGTCGACTGGTCGATGTGTGAAGATCTTGACGGGTCCCATTCCATTCCTAGAGTTGGAATCGAGGCCCAACGATATTGAACGGAAGGAACACTACTCTGCCGTCAGAACATCGAGGTAGCGTAGCATATTCTATATGAGTAATTTGTATGTCTCTGCGGTGGTCATTGGTTTGTTTGAACAGGTGGATACTAGTAGCTTGGATCAACGGTGGAACGGTATTGCGTAGTCCCACCATTGGGCAACGGGCAATGAGATTGTTGCTTGTTGATGTCAAGTTCGTAGCCATACTATATCTCGGGACTGACTTGAGAAAAGTAAAGCAACAGTTTTGAATTGGAATGGGGGATGTTTATTTTCCCAAAACGTAACATTCTCTTGTATGCTTGTTCCTCCTGCAGCACAAACGGCGGAGCCATTGTCCTTGTAACTCGGCCATTCCTTTGCTCGGTCGGTGTTGTGGTGCTGAATTGAGCATGGGTATAGGGGATACGAATGCATCCGTAATGTTGCTGACGATATTACGTAGAACATTTCTGTTGCAGTGACCACGTCCTGTCCTTTTCATTCATGATCCTACTCTGGCCACTTGGTCCACGGCGGTCACCGATGCCTCGGTTCTTCTTGGGTTTGGTGGTGCTGATTGAATCGTTTCGACATTCAACTGGACGAGCATGACAAAACGGTGGTGTAATGCTATTTTTTGGTGAGAATGAATTTCGTCCCTTGAAAGATGGAAGATCATCCGGATTGGGAAACGGCTGTGAATGAACCGCATGCTGAACGTCCTCAAAACCATCCTGCCATCTCTGGAACCTGGGCATTCCATGTATCATTGATGCGATGCAGATTTCTCATTTGCATCCCCACTGAACTCCGTATCGTCTTTGAGTATTAACCGCCGATCCTGTGGCGATCTTCCGAACGGAACGTTCAATTATGCCTCCATTATTGGAATGCTTCGTTATCTTCAAGCAAACCCAAGACCTGATCTTTCCTTTGGCGTTTCTCAATGTGCTCGATCACACATACCCCGAAACGTAGTCACGAAGAAGCTGAAGAGCGGATTGGACAGCATTTCAAGACCAACTCTAACATTTATGTCGACGCTGCTTGTGCCACCAGGGGCTGGAGATTTGATAATCCCTTGTAGACCCTACTTGTATTAAGTCATGAACTGGATTTGTCATCGATATCACGGGCTGCACGTTACAATGGCCCAAAACCCAATGAAATTGAAATCCAGAATAGAAATTCTATTGTGGTTGGTGGTTGGTAACAATCCACGCGTTGGAGAGAGAGAATCAAGCTGACTGTGAGCTGTGAGTGAAAGTAAATCGATTTTGTTTTCGACCACGAAACGTCTTGTTCTTCTAATGTTTCGGCAAATTGGAATTTCGTTTTTGTTTGTACCAGCATAACACGGCCAGGACTCATGGCCCAAAGTCACTGGTGACTGTGAAGCCAGGACGTTTGAAAAGTCATTCCAGATGCTGGTAAGCAAAACGCCGGTTAAAAGACGTTATAATTACGTCCACCACCACTGTCGTATGTCGGGCAAGCGAAATATGTTAAAGAAACGTTAAGAATCCATACCACCACTTAGAGTGGGGCCTGTATCACAGACGTCTTATCGAGCCGGGGTGTTATTTTGGGTGGGGGGTTAAAAGATACAACAGTGATTTTTCAACTCTCACTTCAAAAGAGGTTATGCGGCGACAAGCAAGAATTGCAGCAAAGAAATGTATCATACAATAAAACAATCACACCCGCTGCGCATCTGTCTGGGAACAAACTTACGTAATTACGTGAAATGGACGCTGTGGTTTCCCTTTTACTATCACTACGACGATGTTCTGTCGTATTAAGACTCAACCAACTCCAAAATCGGGGGAGATGAATGTCCTTTGGTCATGATGAAAGCGCTGGGGAGGCAATAAAATACACCCTTTGTGCATCTTTCTGGGAACAAACCTACGTGATTTCTTGAAACAGACAGTGTGGTTTCCTTTTTCTATCATTAAAGGAATGGTCTGTCGTATTGACAAACATCCAACTCGAAAAAAGGGGGCGATGGACGAGTCTTGGTCATGATGAAAACGCTTGGAAGTCGGTCAAAAACACCAATTTGGACGGTAGGATGCGCCATACCTACGTGATTACGTGGAACGAACGATGTGGTTTGCTTTTACTATTATTAAAGGAATGGTCTGTCGTATTGACAAACATCCAACTCAAATATCGGGGGCGATGGACGAGTCTTGGTCATGATGAAAACGCTTGGAAGTCGGTCAAAAACACCAATTTGGACGGTAGGATGCGCCATACCTACGTGATTACTTGGAACGGAAGATGTGGTTTCCATTAACTTATATTATGGGAATGTTCTGTCGTATTGACAAACATCCAACTCGAAAAACGGGGGCGATGGACGAGTCTTGTCATGATGAAAACGCTTGGAAGGCAGTCAAAAACACCAATTTGGACGGTAGGATGCGCCATACCTACGTGAATTCTTGGAACGAAAGAAGTGGTTATTATTACGGAAATGTTCTGTCGTATTGACAAACATCCAACTCGAAAAACGGGGGCGATGGACGAGTCTTGGTCATGATGAAACGGCTTGGAAGGCGGTCAAAAACACCGATTTGGACGGTAGGATGCACCATACCTACGTGATTACGTGGAACGAACGATGTGGTTTGCTTTTACTATTATTAAAGGAATGGTCTGTCGTATTGACAAACATCCAACTCAAATATCGGGGGCGATGGACGAGTCTTGGTCATGATGAAAACGCTTGGAAGTCGGTCAAAAACACCGATTTGGACGGTAGGATGCGCCATACCTACGTGAATACTTGGAACGGAAGATGTGGTTTGCTTTTACTATTATTACGGGAATGTTCTGTCGTATTGAGACACAACCAACTCAAAAATTGGGGGAGATGGAGGTCCTTTGGTCATGATGAAAGCGCTGGGAAGGCAAGAAAATACACCCTTTGTGCATCTTTCTGGGGACAAACCTACGTGAATACTTGGAACGAACGATGTGGTTTGCTTTTTCTATCATTAAAGGAATGGTCTGTCGTATTGACAAACATCCAACTCGAAAAAAGGGGGCGATGGACGAGTCTTGGTCATGATGAAAACGCTTGGAAGTCGGTCAAAAACACCAATTTGGACGGTAGGATGCGCCATACCTACGTGATTACTTGGAACGGAAGATGTGGTTTGCTTTTACTATTATTACGGGAATGTTCTGTCGTATTGACAAACATCCAACTCCAAAATCGGGGGCGATGGACGAGTCTTGGTCATGATGAAAACGCTTGTCCAAAAAAAAATACAGTTGCAGAACATGGAATACAAGAGGCCAAAATTGCATCTCTGATGAAGGAAGACCAAGCAATGTATCCATTGTTGTTGCTGAAGATAATTTTGGTGACCCTAGAAGATGTCGTTGTGGTGGTGGATCAGTACATGAATAAGACCACCTTGCCGGGGGCGGGACACATCGGTGTCCAGCCATCCCTCGCACAATGTCGTGACTATGGCTTTCGTCGGATTACTACTTGTTGCTTCTCCCTTGAAGAAGAACGTTCTTTGACTATTGTCACAGAGGAGCAAACTCCCTTTCGGGACGTCCACAACAGTATATATGATGTATGGAGGAGAACTCGTCCTCAACCGTTGGCTGGAAGAATTTCAAGTCTCTTTCAAATGGTAAGCGGCACTGATGCTGGGCGGTGCTCCTTCTTCCTTTGCAAGCACTATTTTCGAATTGTCCCCCAT